TCTTCAACATGATACAGTAATAGTCACAATAATGTTTTAATGCCAGTCACAAAGTGACACTTGTTTGTTAACAGGAAATCTTGTATGTGCCTCTAACCTTTAATATAATGGATTTTACAAGCCATGGTTTATAAGTCAGATGTCCACATCCCAGCAACCGCCTGTATATGAAATGCCCGGAATGGGTACATCCACAGAAACAGAAAGTAGTTGCTCAGGGCTTGGGAAGAGCCCTGCCTGAGTAGTGTTTAAGTTTTCAGCAGCTAACTGAGTGATGTTTAGTGTGGTGTTCAAACCCACCAGTCATTCCTTGAGAGAAAGAGGCAGTGATCTGTGTTTGTAGATTATCAGCCTTGGACACCTTGTGAGGCACTTCTACTGTGTCCTAAGAGGATTTCTAAGAGTGCAAGCCAGCAGTAATGGGTCTTGAGGTTTCTGAGCTAGGAGTAGGTTGGGTTGGTTGATTAGGAGTGGAGATGGTACAGGATTTCTTTCAAGGGGACAAAGTTAAGATTACACTGTGGTGATGGATGTTTACCATTACCAGACAGATCATATGATCTCTTATGCTGAAAATGACAATTGAAGAGGAATGGCATCATATTCATAGTTAAAAAGAACATTTTAATATTTATCCTGAAACGTAATACTGTGAATGACAGATTACTATTCACACACATAAAAGGAAGACACGTGAATACAATTCAAATCTATGCTCCAAGCACTAGACTCAATGACGAAGAAATTGAGCATTTCCACAAACTTTTGCAGTCTGAAATTGATCAAACATGCAATCAGTATGGATGTTCAGAATATGCTAAATATATATTTAGTGTTTTAAATGAATTTAATAGATATCTTTGACAATTTAAGCAGGCAAATTCTATGGCATGTTAATTATATTTACAATATAGCTGCTTTTAAAAAGTAAATAATGGGTCTAATGACATATTTTTAGGAATAATTACTAATAATCTTCTAGAGACCAGGAAAATAAATGCAGCCCCAAACTGAAGTGCTGTGGAGAAGTCTGGAGTTAGAAGAATGAGAACCAGGCTACCTTATGGCCTATAATGAGGGCTTCTACAGAAGCTCAAACTGAGTAACAGTTACCAGTGACTAGACTCTGCTACTGAGTCTTTCATTAGAATCACAGGAATACCATCTTCCACTTTCACACTAAAGCATCTAATGTAAGGATTGTCTTTAACACTGTAATCTCAAGCAGCTGCTCAAGACTGAAACAACTAGTAGACTGCAGATCAAACACAACAGGGATCTTCACACCATCTGCAAATCCAGAGGCACACAGCCAATAAAGAGTGAACAAAATACTCGGAAGAGCAGAAGGTTTGACATTCTCAGACTCTGGAGAATACACTTGTGAGCATAAGACTGACCGGATCCAAGTCATGGTCTTTGCAATTATTGGCTATGCATCAGAGAGTTGGACAGTGACTAAGGATGACAGAAGAAGAATTGGTGCCTTTGAGTTGTGGCCCTGGAGAAGAGAACAGAACATATCATGGATCACCAAGAGAACAGGTCTGTCATAGAGAGGGCGAAACCAAGGTGCTCCTTGGAGGCAAGATTTTGAAACTCTGTCTCTCTTACTTTGAGCATGTTGCCAGGAGGAACCAATACTTGGGAGAAGGACATCATGCTTGGAAGGGTGGAGGGACAGCACAGGAGAGGAAGACTCTGGATGAAATGGATTTACTCAGTGACTGGGATAATGGGGGCAGGTGAGTCGGAGGCAGTGAGACTAACTCAGGATAGGCCAGGTCAGAGTTACTGTACACAGGGGTGCTATGAGTTGCAGGTGACTTGATGACACATAACAAAAACAATGTGTTGGTTGTTCAAAATGTGAGGTCAAAACTTTAGGGAACTTGATAGTAATGGTAGTAGACTCATAAAACTTAAAGGATTATCATGAGAAAATCACTCCACACTTAAAATATCACAACTTCATTTATAACCATTGTTACGTGCTGTTGAGTCAAGTATGATTCACTGTGACCGTATGACCAGTAGATCTCATCTATCTATACGTGCCATCCTTACTATCTTTATAACACACTCGAGTCCATTGGTACAGTCACTGTATCTATCCACCTCCGCTGAGGGTCTTCCTCTCTTAAACTGACTCCACCTTTCCAGCATGACGTCTCTTCTCCAAGGACTGGTCTCTCCTAACAACATGTCCAAAGTATATGAAATGAAGTTTCACCATAATCGGCAAAACAAAAGCAAACATTTCTTTGCTTGTGATGGTTAGATGGTTGACCCTTTCAATTTATATTTATATGCACTTTTAATCACCAAAGCTGATGGCCCACAATCTAAATGGAACTTCTTTCTGGATGATCTCTGATATTTAACCTCTTGTCAAGCATGAAGCATCACTTTTTATTTTACAATTGTCCAACTACTCAGTAAGATTTTAAGAAACATGAAACTTGTAGATTTATTTAAGTTTGTGTAAGATCTAGGGTACTTTTAAGATAATAACACTTAGAAGAATGGGAATCCTAGAACACGTCATTGTGTCCATGTGGAATCTTTACCTAACCCAAGAAGCAGTGGTTCAAACTGAGCAATGAGCTACTACATGTTTTAAAATCAGGTAAGATGTGCATGAGAGTTGTAGCCTTTCACCCCACCTGTTCATTCTGTCTGCCAATCTAAGAATCCTAAATAATGAAGAATGTGGCACTGGGATTGAAGGAAGATTCATCAAACAATGTGCCCCATACAGATGACACAACCTCACTTGTTGAACATGAAAAGGACCTGAAACACTTACTGAAGGTGAAAAACAGCCTTCTATACGAATTCCGGTCCAACATCAAGATAACAAAAATCTTGACAACTGTACCAACCAACAGGCAACAACATGATAGATGGAGAAAGGATTGAAGCTGTCAGAGAGTTCATTTTACTTGTATCCACAATCAGCATTGACAACAGTAGCAGTTAACTTAAAAGACCAATCTGCCACCTTAGGAACTTCATTAACTGTCACTTCAAAGAGGCATCTGACACCAATTACAATTGCTTCCTATGAATCTGAAAGTTGAACGATTAAGGATGACCAAAGAATAATTTGGTCATTCTCAAGGATGCCTCTTAATTTTGCTGTTGGAGAATAATATTGACTGCGTGATGGACTGCCGAAAGGATACATAATTCTATTTTGAAAGAAGTATAACCAAAATGCTCCTTAAAACAAAGAGAGTGAAATTTCATCTCCCATATTTTGTTCAAGAGGTGTCAGATCTTGGAAAAAGACATCATGTTTAGAGAAAGAGAGGGACACTGAGGCAAAGGAAGCCCCTCTAGGAGATAAGATTGACTTAGTAGATGTAATAATAATAATAATAATAATAATAATAATAATAATAATAATAATGGCTTAAGTGCAATAGAGATGGTGAAGAAGTGGAGCAGGGCTTTGTTGTGAAGCACATGGAGTCCCCCAGGCACAACAGGTGGAGCTGACTCCCTGTATCTACCACCAACTCTACTTTATCGACACCACTTAGATACTGTTCCTTGATTCTTTCAAAACATCAACTTTTTTTAGTATTAACTCCAATGACACATTATCAAAAAAGAATTGCATTAAGGACACCATCTATACACCTGTTGGATTGGAGCACCCTCCTTCAACAGCAAGCAAAGAAATTAAAACGCAGGACTCATGTTGGTGCATCTTTAAATGAAAGAAGCTGCCTTGTGCCCAAGCAAAACCAAGGCTTATGTTCACAAGGTAATTTACCAGTCTAAGATTCTAATCGACAGCTAAAATAAGACTGTAAAAAAAATCCCTCCAACAAAAGCAGCACCACGAACTCAAGGCTCTCTGCTGTTCAAGAACACTGTGACACGTCATTTGAAGAAAGGAAGGTATGATCTTTTCTCTCAAGGAGTAAAATTCTGCAATACAAGCAAACTCATCCAGAGAGGAAGCGTGTGTGTGTGTGTGTGTGTGTGTGTGTGTGTGTGTAATCATTCCATCTAGTTCAACATCCTGGAGCCGATTTAAAAACCTTCTGTCTTTGCCTGTCATTTCCTTTCACCAAGATCCTGTTGATGTTTACATCATTTAAGAACTGTATCAAGTATCTCAATGAATAGGATAAATGAACTCTCAGGTTTTTCCGTTTCCAAATCGTTGAAGGAAACATCAAAATGGTCCCTTTTTCTTTCTTTTCCTCATGATCCAATCATAAAGCCACCCCCCCCCCAAAATTTGTTTATCCCCACACCGCTGGGGAAATGCCAGAAGTAGCACCTTTCTTCCCCTTTTTGTTTGAGAAACTGGAAAAGAAAGACTCTTTAAAAACAGGGCATTAGAGTTCAGCAACGTTACACTACATTTCCACAAGCCCAGCCTCAGCCCTCAAGAATTAAGTTCATGAGGTATGTTTCCTTACATTTTATAGCCTATGTGTCTAATACAAACACGACGAGTATCATTTCAAACAGTTGGGCATTTTTCTGCAGTTGGTTATTAGAGATTCAGCCTTCTGCCAGGATAAGGCAGGCGTTCAGCACTTCTACTCCGAATAACAAACCATAAATCAGTTGACAAGCCTGAAAGAATTCGCTTCAAGTCTGTTCGGAAGCCAAGCGTCAATACAGAAAACCCTTTGGGCATGTTTACCCTGCTCTCGAAGTTTCGCGTTTTACCAAAAACCCAGGCACACGCCAACGGCGTTTCTCGTAACTTTCTGGCTCAGAAGCCTTCCCGAGGCAACCCCAAAGGCGGCATCTCCCCCAGAAAAGGGGCCTGCGCCTTTAAGGTGAACGCGGCCCGCTCCCCAGAGGCATTCCACTCCTGCACCACAAAGACTTTAGGGCGCGCTACCTCTCGGGTTTCCCCGGGGGGCTCGGCGGGTCAGGGCAGCCCAGGGTGAAGAGTCTGCGGCAGGAGGCGCCGGCCCTGGCCCCCCGCGCGTCTCCAGGGCGCACCGCGGGCGCCCCGCACTCACCGCTGCTGGGCTGGGGGGACAGCGTGGACACCGAGGTCTGGCCCATGTCTGGGGGCGCCGGCGGGGCCCGCTCCGACGATC